ATTTTAGACAACACTGCTTAATGAAAGATGATCAAAAATGTAGTAATGGCTTAGCAGGCTGAGCTGGAGCTATTCCACCTGCAGAGATTCTACTTCCTCCTAGGAACTTGTGGCCTCTGACGATGAGGAAAAGAACAAAGACACAATTGGGAAGACATTAAGGATTTGGGATTATTATAGTGATAATTTTGCCTAGAAATAAAACCTGAGGAGATAGCTCCTTGAAAGAAGTTCCAATGGGAAAATTCCACTTAGCTTGTTCTCACCTGTGTTAGAACTTTTAGGGGCAAGAGTTGTGCCAGTGGTTACCCCAGTGGTACCTGAAACACAAAAAGTCCAGAGGTCACTGACTCATTCTGCCATGAGAATATCTGAATCTAGATGCCATCTGTGTGTTCTTTGCTATAACAAGTAGCCTTTTCTGGATACTTAAAAAATCTATAATTCTACGAGTTTTTCTGCTTGAACTATTCCATTTGTAAATCACAGGGAGTGGCAACGTTCTCTACTTGAGACGTCCTTTCCTGGCCTTCCCTGACAAAGATGAAAGATGATCTTCTCTTGTGTTCACCTAGTTTGATCTCAGTATGCCTTAGCTCTCTGCTACAAAAGACAGTTTATACTGAGTACCTGAGACAATGAGAAACTGCTGAGCATTACTCCTTAATGGGGTCAAAGAAGGCTTTCTGGAAAAGACAGCATCTAGATCTTTACTATTGCTTAGGATTTGTCTATGTGAAGTCCAGGAAGGGAACATCAGGCAGAAGACATAGTGAGAGCCAAGGTTCAGGGAAACACAGCAATATGTGTTGTATAAACATAGAATGAGTGAAAAATAACTGAAAATTTAGCTCAAATTCAGTGAGAAAACAATTTCCTAGTGATCAGTTTGTAACATTTTATAAAGGAACTTCTAACAGTGCCACCAAGTAATTCAAGTGAGGCTAAAAGTTGTTATGTAAAGGGGGCTAATGAGAACTTTGGAAAGTAGATGGGGTCTCCAAAAGCTCTAATATTACACTAAAGCACTTAGAATTTACTTGAAGGGAAATGGGTAGCTGCTACCATGGATTGATGACAGAAATGATATGAACAGAGATAACAGTCAATAGAGGACCACTGACTGCTATTTCAGATAGAACACATCTGAGAATAGAGAAAACTAGAAGAGAGGAAAGTTGCCCACAATAGTCTAGACTAAAGGAAATGTAGAGGAGTAGAAAGAGCTCAGGTGTTGGAATCAAAAGAGTTGTGTGGTTTAAAACAGGTTAAAAATCTCTGAACCTCAGTTTCCTTACCAGCAAATTAGGGAAAATAATGCCTACATTATCCAAATGAGATAGTGAATGAAAGCTAAACATATTTCAGCTGTATTGAGTGTTCGTTATATGCAAAGCTCTCCAGGTAAGACATTAATGATACATAAGACTCGGTCCCCTTTCAACAAAGGTAGAATCTAGTGGATCAGGGAGACAAGTATTGAAATCAATCACCTCATCAGATAAGGGCCATAAAGAGGTTTTAAATCAGTGAAAAATAAGACAAAAATGCCTGTTTTCATGGAACTTATATTCCAATGTAAGTGCTAAAAGGATCAGAAGGAGAAATTTTTTTTTTCAAAGTGAGATATTCTAAAGAATCAGCTTCTAGGCCATCTGTGGTGGCTTATGCCTGTCATCCCTGCACTCTGGGAGGCCGAGTTGGGCAGATCACCTGAGGTCAGGAGTTTGAAGCCAGCCTGGCCAAAATAGTGAAACCTCATCTCTACTAAAAAAATGCAAAATATTAGCCGGGCGTGGTAGCGCACACCTGTAATCCCAGCTACTCAGGATGCTGAGGCAAGAGAATCGCTTGAACCGAGGAGTTGGAGGTTGCAGTGAGCCAAGATCGTGCCACTGCACTCCAACCTGGGCGACAGAGCAAGTCCCTGTCTCCAAAAACGAAACAAACAAAAAACCCAAAACAACAACAAAAAGTTGGCTACTTTTGCTTATCTTTTAAAACTGTTTTTAAGTTTAAAAAAGAGACACCAGGATACATTAAAAGCTAAATAGTTTTCTTGTAAATAGTAGGTGACTATTAATATGCTGAGAAATATGGTGTTACCTCTTTTTAATAGGGGAGATGTTTTGGGAGTTATTTTGGTTTGTCTGAGTTTGTATACTTGTATACAATCAGTGTAGAATTTAAGTATTATATAAAGGATTCAATACACCTTTATTATGATTTAAGAAGACATGAGAATAGAAAAATCAAAAGCCCTATGCTACAAAAATCAAATTTGAAGTTCATGTTTTATTAATCAGATAATAAAGACTTCTGGTACCATGTGTTCTATTCCATTAATGTAACATTATTTTTTCAAATGCACATTTATAATCTCATATTTTCTCACCTGCTACTTCAGGCTGTTTTGATGGCACTGAAATTTAAAAACAAATATATTTATAAATGTATATATTTGATTAATTTCCATTTACAAAGATTAATTTGTATGTTAGGTTATAATTTGAGAAGCATGTCACACACAATCCTTTAAATGTTTTTCAGTGCTCAAATGAAAAAAAATAGAAATTATATTTCAAGCACATTGTACAGAAATAAATTTTCATGTCATTGAATATCAACTTACCTACAATGAGTTGTGGTGGAATTCTAACTGAGCTTCCTAAGGGATAAATTAAATCCATATTTAAATTAAAGAATTTATTTGAATTTCATTTAAAAAAATTTGCTTCAGTGGGTCAAATGCCTTGATAATTAAATTTTGTTTAAAAAACAGATGTTATTTCCCACAGAGGCTTATCTTAGAAATTTAAGTCAGATTAAGTGTTCTCTTGTGAGACATATTGTAAAGTGCTCTTTTAAAGAATCATGTATGATTTCTATGATTACAGATTATCAAACTGAAAAAAAAAACACTGCCTTTTTTCCAAGCAAAATATTTATACACAGGTAATTGTTATTTGGTTACATTTAATTAAAGCTGTCTTGAAATTATAAAATGCCAAAAATGATAAAATACATACTGTGCCTCAATAGTTACACAGCGAGTCCCAATGGCTACCTGTTTGTGGCCATGTGTTAACTTATAATTATGTTGCTCAATATATAATATGAATCATGCCAATTTGTTTACATTTGCATAACCATAGATTGAATAAAGAATTAATGCAAATTTAGTTTGAATTAAATTATTGAATTATTTTCTAGCGATCAGTCGGTAAAATTAATTTACACAGGAGACTTTATAACAGTAGTTACAATAATGTGGCATAAATCTTCATCAGAAAAAAAAAAAAAAGGTAAGCATTCTATTCCTTAAACTATTAATGAGCAATGTAGTCATTAGAGTCTGGGTTCTGTTAGGGACTTGCACATTGAGAAATGACGTATTTCTCAAGTACTGTCATACTAAGTATATTACTAGTTGAGAACCTTAAACAATAATATACTGTAGCCTTGAAATAATAATTCTGTTAATTTACTCAGTGTTAGGAAAAAGAAATTGCCCTGTAAGTATTTGTGAATCATTTTTAAAAAAGGAAAGTTATAAAATTTGGACTTATAAAACAATAATGTTATAGTTTTGTCAAATAAAATTCTCCCAATCTTATTTCAGAATAGGAAGTGCCATAGTTTATTACATTAAAAAACTTATTTTTCTTACCTGCTGCTCCAATTCTTTTAGTTAGAAATGGGAAACATTTAAGCTTTGTGATTTTAAAAGCGAGCTTTATTGATGATTTTGTTTGTTTGTTTGTTTGTTTGTTTTGAGATGGAGTCTCGCTCTGTTGCCCAGGCTGGAGTGCAGTGACCTGATCTCGGGTCACTGCAACCTCCGCCTTCCGGGTTCAAGCGATTCTCCTGCCTCAGCCTCCTGAGTAGCTAGGACTACAGGCATGCGCAACCATGCCCTGCTAATTTTTATATTTTTAGTAGAGATGGTGTTTCACCATGTTGACCAGGATGGTCTCCATCTCTTGACCTCGTGATCCACCCGTCTCGGCCTCCCAAGGTGCTGGGATTACAGGCATGAGCCACCGCACCCAGCCTATTGAAGGGTAATTAAATATCACTGTATATTTTGCTTTAGCAAAGGAAGGCATCACATTGAAGAGCACAGTTTTGGAATCAATAAACAATCAAGAAAAATATTGATTTCACCATTTGGCGTGCTGTAGAAACCTATCAACTTAGGTAATATCTTTGCCTAAGTTCCTCATGAGCAAAATGAGATAATCATGTTCATTCAAGTAATTTATGAGATAACATATTTAAAGACATTGTAATTAACTGGCATTATTATTATTAATGATACTGCTGTTTTAAAATAAGCAATGAGCATGAAAAAAAATCAAAAACACATCTGACATCCCCCTGCTTACTTACCAGTAGTGGTACTTCCTGGTGCAATTGTTGACCCAGGGATGGCTCCCGTGGCAACTGAGATTAAAAAGCGTAAAGTCAGGAGCAGTGTTCTTATTTTATTGAAGCACTATCCAGATATTTATCAACATAACTACTTTGAGCCCAGTTGTGGTTCCAGTACCTGATGTGGAAGCTATGCTTTCACC